CACACACACACACACACACACACACACACACACACACACACACACACACACACACACACACACTGGTTTATATCGAGCAGGTCTCTGTAACCTCACGTCTTTACAAGTGTGTCTTTAAAACTGAGACATGTTTCAGGGGGCAGAGTGGGTTGCCCACTAATCACAGGGTTGGCAGTTTAAACCCAATCTAGCCCAACCACATGCATGGCAGCTCCGCCACCATGACTATGGGAGCAAATGGGTGAAAGAGAAAAACCTTGAAAAACTGTTAACTTCACACTGATGGCGTATGTAAACGGACAACATTTAAAAAGTGCAAACATAATGAACCATAAAAGGAAAACTTTCCAATCACTTTCCTGTGGTAACTTCATTCATACTTCAAATATACCCTGTGACCTCTTACTGTTTGAGCTACAGAGGAGTTTTTGATATATTATGTTGCCTTATTCGACTATACTTTGATGTTAATGTTCTCATTGCACCGCTGAGGGTGGATTACTCTTTATGTTTCTGAAGGAACCTTTTTTTAAAGTTTTTTTTCACTTGGTCAGCTGCAGCATAGAGGCTTAACCACAAACATCTGTTTAAGGTCGAGCGAGGTCAGCACTGAGCATGTGCAGATGTTTCTTGATGGTTGTGGTGCAGCACGGTAGCAGACTATTCTAAAACAAACTATCTTTAAACCTGCACACTGAGTAACCTGTGAAGCGTTTCGTTTTTTTCCAGCACGGCTGACTTCCCACCGTTTAAGGACTTTTATTTTGAAAATACAGCTTTCTCCCATAGATCCATTTATTTTGAAGGCTACGGTTGACTCTGCGGTCTGCATTCTTGGCCATCTCGGCTGATTGAAAACATGTGAAGCGAAGCTGAAAAACCATCAAATGAAAATGTGAGTGCTGCCGCTCAAACACCTGCAGACCCTCTGAAGAATATAAACACGCCGGATCGCTTTCTGTCTGTTTCTGTTCCCATGCGGGTTATAAGTCAAACATCCTGCCCGGCATCTGACAGCTTCAGTCATCGAATCCAGTGACACGCTCATTGTTCACATGGCATTGTGGGTAAAATCTCATGACAAGTTAAGCGCGTGGTGCTGATGTCATTAGCGCGTGGTGGCGATGAGTTTCCATCCGTCTCGTTCATGTCGGATCAGCAGCAGAAAGACTCGCTGTGTTGTGTGTTCGCGTGTAATTAGGTTGAATTGTTGTCTCTGGAATCCAGAAGGATGAGCAGAAACAATCATCTCATGAACCATAATCATGCTGTTTCACTGCTGAGGTTGCATTCGTTGAAATATTTGGAGGACATAAGGAGGGGGCTCAATATACACCAAATATATAAAAAGTAACGCAAAGTGCTTTAAATGCAAAGCAAGCAGGTCTGTATGTCAGTGAACTGAGATGTAGTCATAATCATAATGAGATATCCAAATGTAAAGAGGGATAAACAGAATACATTCTGATCAGTTTAATGTGTAATTTAAATATTCTATCATTCATTCAGTGTAACTACGAGAAAGAAATGACCTCCACCTTCACCATACGAGGTGCAATGAAAGAGCCGAATGACTCCACCCGCGAGAGCAGAAACCTAAACAGATCCTTCGAGGTCGCCTCTTTGAGCACCTCCTTTGTGCTGCTGTTTTTGGATTGCTCACTTGCACATACTTGCAGCTTTGTGGTTTTGCTACGGACCCAAACTTGCACAGTTTTGGTTTTGCTTTGATTTCTCTTTTGATGACAGTTGTTGAAAAGCCCCACAATGTGGTTCCGGGCTTCTTTGTTATTCTTGCCTTGAGATTTGGACACAGATGGTGACAGTGTCATCGCAGCAAGACTTTCCACTGTATTGTTCTTACTAAGCACCGGTGTGGAAGTCTGTATTTCCATCTCCATCGCATTTCTGAGCTAAAAAGCTATCCTGGAGCTGAGTGTAGGTAAAATCAGACATTTTTCTCGGACACTATCGCATTACAGGTTAAAAATATCAATCCATTTCAATAAATCCTATCTAGTTCCTTCAACTTATCTCTCCGTCGTGGAATAATATTGCAAAGACCTCCAAATTTTCAAACAATGAAGTTGAAGGTGTTCAACTTCAACTTCATCCAACAAATTATTCAAATGAGATGCTTCTCCCACTGAAAACGCTACGTCCAGATGAACAGAATCAACCTTTGGGAGTACAAAGAGATTCATTCATTTTAACCAGATCTCCAATACCACCTCCACTTTAGGCCTGCCACCTGTCCAGTTTCCTATTTTGTCTTTTGAGGCCAAACTGCACACCATATTGAAATATGCCAGGTGTTGGTGAGGAAAAAAACTATTTTGTGCTGTGAAATTTTGTTACCTTTGGAATTTTTCATAGACAACTAAAGAAACAGGCTGTGACAGGCTGCTAGCTGTTTGTTTTCAGTTCATCACTTGAGTTAGAAGCCCCTTTTTTAAGTGGCTTAACTAACAAACAAACAAAACAAAAAGTTCACTGAAAACGGTAACGTACAAGGACCGGACTCCCAGAAAAGGCAGCCAGTGCCCAAAGAAAAACGTTGAAAGGTGTCAGGAAAGGCAGGAAAGGAATTGCTAAAGAAACTAAATATAAAGGACTTTTGCAGAAACCTGCTGAGGGGAAGCTAAGTCATATCAGCTCAGCTATTATGTTACAGCAGTGCAAACTGTGTTGCTCTGCCCAATGAATTTACATGTCTTCAGTTGGTGATTGTGTATAAATGCATATTCATGCTTGACCTTAATCTGATGCTAAGTCTTCAAGTCTTCATTCCTGGAATTGCAGCTATAGAAGATAAGATTTTAAGCACTGATTAGGTGACAAAAAGTTAGTTATCTTCACGTCTTATTGAGCAGGATGTGAGACGTATCAGACCTGTGTGACAACAATGTGAAGCTTTGAAAGTTTCAATGTATGCAGTCTAATGCCTTTCTTATGCTAGAAAGCGGAGTGCTGATTGAAGTCGACGGCATCCGGTTGATTCATGTTGTATGTGAGCGTGCACAGAGCTGGAGAGTTAACAGATAGCGCTCTCACAGATGGTGGTTATCTGAGTGCCGTTTTAGGATTTGTTGAGCCAGCCAAGTTTGGCTATGTCAAACTTTCCTTAAGAACCAGTCTCAACACACAAAAGCACCAAACTTATAGACAAGTCCTCGGTAGATGAACATATTGCTAAAACAAAAAAACGTGGAAGCTCTCTGAACCCTGGCCAGCAAAAATGGGCTGTTATGTAATTCTAAAAATATGTGTTTATTTTCTTATTTACACTTCTGTATTTGTACAACATTATTAATTAGTGTATGGGAACACAACAGATGGTGC